ATCAGGAAAAGATTATATCAGTATATTGATACATGTTTCTGTGTGACAGTTTCCATGGTAACCAGTTATCTTTTATTATTGTTTTAAGTAATTCCCTTCCTGAGAGAGGATTACACATATCTCTGCCCGTAATAACTCATAATGCCTTTGATATGGTCTGGTTGTGTCCCCATCCAAATCTCATCTTGAATTGTACTCTCATAATTCCCATGTGTTGTGGGAGGGACCCAGTGGGAGATAGTTTAAATCATGGGGGCAGTTTCCCCCATACTGTTTTCATGGTAGTGAATAAGTCTCATGAGATCTAATGGTTTTATCAGGGGTTTCTGCTTTTGCATCTTCCTCATTTTCTCTGAGGCCTCCCCGCCATGACTCTGAGGCCTCCCCAGCCGTGTATAACTGTAAGTCCAATTAAACCTCTTTTTCTTCCCAGTCTCAGGCATGTCTTTATCAGCAGCAGGAAAAAGGACTAATATAGTAAATTGGTACCAGTAGAGTGGGGTGTTGCTGAAAAGATACCTGAAAATGTGGAAACAACTTTGGAACTGGGTAACAGTCAGAGGTTGGAACAGTTTGGAGGGCTCAGAAGAAGACAGGAAAATGTGGGAAAGTTTGGAACTTCCTAGAGACTTGTTGAATGGCTTTGACCAAAAACCTGAAACAATATGGACAATAAGGTCCAGGCTGAGGTGGTCTCAGATGGAGATGAGGAATTTGTTGGAAACTGGAGTAAAGGTGACTCTTATTATGTTTTAGCAAAGAGACTGGTGGCATTTTGCCGCTGTCCTAGAGATTTGAGGAACTTTGAACTTTAGAGAGATGATTTAGGGTATCTGGAGGAAGAAATTTCTTTTTTTTTTTTTTTTTTGAGATGGAGTCTTGCTCTGTCACCCAGGCTGGAGTGCAGTGGGGTGATCTTGGCTCACTGCAACTTCTGCCTCCTGGGTTTAAGCAATTCTCCCACCTTAGCCTCCAGAGTAGCTGGAGGCGTGCACCACCACACCCAGCTAATTTTTGTACTTTTAGTAGAGATGGGGTTTCACCATGTTGGCCAGGCTGGTCTCGAGCTCCTGACATCAGGTGATCCTCCTGCCTCGGCCTCCCAAAGTGCTGGGATTACAGGCATGAGCCACCGCACTGGTGGAGGAAGAAATCTCTAAGCAGCAAAGCATTCAAGAGGTGACTTGAGTGCTGTTAAAGGCATTCAATTTTATAAGGGAAGGAGAGCATAAACATTTGGAAAATTTGCAGCCTGACAATGTGATAGAAAAGAAAACTCATTTTCTGAGGAGAAATTCAAGTTGGCTGCTGAAATTTGCACAAGTAAGGAGGAGCCGAATGTTAAGCCCCAAGACAATGGAGAAAATGTCCCCGGGGCACGTTGGAGGTCTTCACAGCACCCTTTCCCATCACAGGCCTAGAGGCCTAGGAGAAAATGATTTCGTTGGTCAGGCCCAGGGTCCCTGTGCTGTGTGCAGCCTAGGGACTTGGCACCCTGTGTCCCAGCTGCTCCAGCCATGGCTGAAACGGGCCCACATAGAGTTCGGGCTGTGGCTTCAGAGGGTGCAAGCCCCAAACCTTGGCAGCTTCCACGTGGTGTTGAGCCTGCGAGTCAAGAATTAGGGTTTGGGAGCCTCCGCGTAGATTTCAGAAAATGTATGGAAACGCCTGGATGCCCAGGCAGAAGTTTGCTGCAGGGGTGATGCCCTCATGGAGAACCTCTGCTAGGGCAGTGCAGAAGGGAAATGTGGGGTCAGAGTCCCTACTGGGGCACCAACTAGTGGAGCCTTGAGAAGAGGGCCACTGTCCTCCAGACCCCAGAATAGTAGATCAACCAACAGCTTGCACTGTGCACCTGGAAAAGCCACAGACACTCAACACCAGCCTGTGAAAGCAGCTGGAGGGAGGGAGGCTGTACCCTGCAAAGTCACAGGAGTGTAGCTGCCCAAGACCATGGGAACCCACCTCTTGCATCACCATGACTTGGATGTGAGACCTGGAGTCAAAGGAGATCATTTTGGAACTTTAAAATTTGACTGCCCTGCTAGATTTTGGACTTGCAAGGGCCCTGTAACCTCTTTGTTTTGGCCAATTTCTCCCATTTGGAATGGCTGTATTTACCCAATACCTGTACACCCATTGTATCTAGAAAGTAAGAGCTTGCTTTTGATTTTACAGGCTCATAGGCGAAAGGGACTTGTCTTGTCTCAGATGAGACTTTGGACTGTGGACTTTTACGTTAATGCTGAAATGAGTTAAGACTTTGAGGGACTGTTGGGAAGGTATGATTGGCTTTGAAATGTGTGAACATGAGATTTGGAGGGGCCAAGGGTGGAATGATATGGTTTGGCTGTGTTGGTTTGGCTGTGTGTCCTACCCAAATCTCATCTTGATTGTACTCCCATGATTCCCACGTGTTGTGGGAGGGACCCACTGGGAGATAATTTGAATCATGGGTGTGGGGGGTCTTTATCAGCGGCATGAAAATGGACTAATACAGCCTTCTGTGGAAAAAGCACACATTCCTGCTCCATTGATGTTGGTCTTAGACATGTGGCTTGTTTTGGCCAATGGCAGGTGAGCGGATGTGACTTATATTATGTTGAAATCAAAGTGTTGATCATTCTTGTGTGTTTTTGCCAACTCTCTCCTCTTTTTCCTGTGCCCTGAGAATGGCACATCTCAGCTATTGAAGAACACACATGGAGCGGGAGAAGAACTACCATCAACCCATGGCTAATGAGCAACATGAATGAGATATAATCCTTCATTGTTTTAAACCATGGTGATTTGGGGGTTGTTACTGCAGCCTTCCTAGTAAATGCTGACGAGGACACCTGGCATGCTCACTGTTGACAGTCAAATTTTGACTGCAGTTATCATTTGGGTCAATCTGACTGACCTAGCTATCTTTTATAATGATCCAATGCAATTATTTAACTCAATACTTTTTATAAATATGGCAAAAAAAGATTAATTAGAATAACTGAGACCTCAATGGGCATACGGCACATAAATGTTACTCAACAGTTATCTTAAATATAGTGAAGCTGGCTGGGTGCGGTGGCTCACACCTGTAATCCCAGCACTTTGGGAGGCCAAGGTGGGTGGATCACCTGAGGTCTGGAGTTCAAGATCAGCCTGACCAACATGGAGAAACCCCATTTCTACTAAAAATACAAAATTAGCCAGGCATGGTGTTGCATCCCAGCTACTCAGGAGGCTGAGGCAGGAGAATTGTTTGAACCTGGGAGATGGAGGTTGCGATGATCTGAGATCGTGCCATTGCACTCTAGCCTGGGCAACAAGAGTGAAACTCTATCTGAAACACACACACACACACACACACACACACACAGAGTCAAGCTGTTAAGCTTTCTGTAAGTAAAAGAGACATCCTTCAGCAAGATCTAGCAACGGTGATTATTATAAATATATAGTTGGCAAAAAGAGACATAGAATCTCAAAGAAACTGAAGACCAACAGATATCTTCAGAATCTGGATTGATTCCACGGCAGTTAAGGGACAGTGCATTATCCTTGTCATTTGAGTGCTGTGGTATTATTAACATGGCTCTGATACTCTTGATCTCTGCTCCTCTTAGTGTCCTTTTGCTTCTCTTTCTGCTACCAGCTGACTTCCTTATGGTTTATTCCATACCATTTCCCTTCCTCAAAGCTTCTACTATAACTACCATTTATGATTTTTCATACCTTTATCTTGCTCATAAGTTTGGTTTGCTCCAGGCTACTCCTGCCTCTTCTCTTCTTCTAGGTTATCTTTTAAACTTCAGTTCCCACTATTAGTTGCCCCATTTCAAATTCCTGAGAGTATGATTTTGTTGAACCCGGCTCTAGTGGGTTAAATAATCTCTACCTCCAATATTCATGTTCACTTGGAACCTCAGAATGTGACCTTATTTGAAATAATGTGGGGATTTTTTGTTTTGTTTTGTTTTGAGACAGTCTCACTCTGTCACCTAGGCTGGAATGCAGTGGCATGATCATGGCTCACTGCAGCCTCGACCTCCTGAGCTCAGGCAATCCTCCCACCTCAGCCTCCCGAGTAGCTGGGACTATAGGCACATGCCATGACACCTGGCTTATTTTTGTATTTTTTTTAGAGATGGAATCTCACTATGTTGCCCAGGCTAGTCTTGAACTCCTGGGCTCAAGCAATCCTCCTGCTTCGGCCTCCCAGTGTGCTAGGATTATAGGTGTGAGCCACTGCACCCAGCCTAAAACCCAATCTTTATTGCATCTCTTTCTGCTAACCAACTGGCTTCCTTACAATACATAATTTAATTTATTAAAATAAATATTTACTGATTGACATACATTATTTTCTTCTTTAGTAATGATTATTACTGATTAGCAGATAGTAATTTGAGCCTGAAAATTAGTGTGTTGTATAAGAACAGGCAGTAGGATAAGTTTGGCCCATGGGCCATAGTTTGCCAACTCCTGCTATAGAAGAAAGTTGCTGTTGCTTGTTCACCAAAAATCAATCTTATTTTCCTAATAGGACCCTAATTTCCTTCTGGGAACCTTTCCCCTAGCCCTACCTGTCATTGAAAATGATCAGTGTGCACACTTCCAGTAATGCCACAGAAGCATGAGGCCCTGGCTATGGTGACCGGTTCCATCTGAGTAAATATTACAGTTGCATGGGATCTACTTTTTCTTTTTTCTGTTTTGAGACAGGGTCTTTCTGTGTCGCCCAGGCTGGAGTGCAGTGACGAGATCATGGCTCATGTAGCCTTGACCTCCAAGCCTCAACCAATCTTCCCACCTCAGCCTCCTGAGTAGCTGGGACCACAGACACATGCCACCATACCTGGCTAATTTTTAAAATTTTGGGTAGAGACAAGGCCTCTCTAGGTTGCCCAGGCTGGTCTCAAATTCCTGGGCTCAAGCGATCCAACTGCCTCGCCCTCGCAAAGTGCTGAGATGACAGGCTGAGCCACCACACACTCTGCCTTGTTTTTCTTTTTCCACAGGAACCTGTGGTGATAAGGAAGATGTGAGCCTGGAGATACAGAAGCTACCACATGAATGTTAAAAATGAAGCTGACACAGCAAAAGGCAGTGCCAAGGAACTAAAAGAAAACAAATTTTGATTACATTTTTGGAGTTCATGGGTCAAGCAGTTCATGACACTGAAGCTTTTCCGCTACATGAATAAATAACTTTTTCTTTGCCCTTAAAGTGGGTTTGTGCTGGCTTCTCTATCACTCACAACAACTGGATAGTAACTGAGGCAACACTTCCTACCTCTTACACACATTATACCCATAAAACAGAAACAACATCTAAAATTAGATTTCAACACAACTACCAAAGCAGAAACGTTCAAACCAACAAGTTATGGATAATGTTTTACTGAAACTACATTTCTCCTTCCAATGTGAGTATGGTGTTGGCGAACATGTTGCGTGTTGATTCTGCTTGCCTTTGTGTCCTGCACATAGGGTGTGGACTGTGTAATGAATCGTTTCTTCATTATGTTTCTCAGCTTGCATGGTTGCATCACCTCCATTCACAGAGCTCACTGTGACAGCATTCAACCTTGTCTTGGTACAAGTGTGTAATTTACATAATAGTAGCCTCTGTACTTTTCTCAGTAACTTAAACAAAGGAGACCATCACTCACTGTGCTTGCCTTTCAAATTAGATTTGATATCAAATTAAAGTCTCATTTTATTAAATTTCTGAAGCCAAAGTCTTTGACCTATGAAAGTATGTTTCAATTATGAATGGAAAAGAGAAGCTTTGTGTTATTAACAGGAAAAGAATTCAAGTGTGACGGTTGTGTCAATGCCATTGGGACATGCCAGTGCTCAGTAACTCAACAGACAAGCCTACTAGACCTGCTTTACTCATTCGTGGCCCTGTTTCTTCACTTTCTGCTGACTCCCACCTGTGTTTCATAATTCTATACACTGATGTGGTTTATTACTTCTAATCGGGACCTTAAACTAATTGTGAAACTTGTTAGAGTCTCTTGGTATAAAATGCATAGTCTTCATACAATTAGAATGTTATAATCTGGACCTACCAATGTGAACAAGTGAACAAATGTGCTGTTTATTTTAACCAGCAGTGCTGTTTTAGTTAGCTATTTATCTCCTAAATCTCAAAAACACTCAGTAGCTTACAACATGAAGCTGTTTTTCTTTTTTTTTTTTTTTTTTTTTGCTTATAGGTCTGTGGGTCAGCTGGGGTAGCTCTGCTTCAGGTTGTAGGTCATCTCGGCTTGGCAGACTTTAGGTTAAACATAAGACTGTGTGTCTCATTTTGGGGCCCACACTGAAGGGATAGCAGCTAGCTGGTGCCTGCTGTCTTCATGGCAATCACAGGGGTGCGAGAGGCGGAGCTGAAGGACACAGCACATTTAAGTCTTTTGTGTGTGTCATGTTCAGTGACATTCCATGTCCAGAGCCAGCTACATGGGTGGATCATGAATAGAGGGGAGAAATGCACCCCACCCACTTCAGTGAGCTTTAGGTTTACATGGCTGAGGGATGGAGGGAAGAATTTTGGACAATAATCCCATCTAGTACATATGGCTTCAATTTGTATGAACCCTGTCTCTACTCCTCCAACCCTCTGATCTCAATTGCTATTGCTAATATGCCCTGTGGGAGTGAGAGGGCTTTCTATAAGGAAGAGAATGACTTCCAGATAGCTTATTGGCCATCAATCTAGGAGCTGTTACAGCTGAGAAACATTTTGACCCAACCCTCTGGCTTCTTCGTTGATTTATTTTTCTGATAAAATTCATGTTTTTAAATATTAAGCTTTAATGAAGTTAATGTGTTCTAATGCAGTAAAAAATAAAGCATATATGATTCTATCATTTGTAAATATACAATATAACTAGTAAGAAATAAGGGGTCTCATTCACACCCAGATTTATAGGACCCAGCACTATGTGCTGGGTACATAATAGAAGCTCAGTAAGTATTTGTTGATTGAAGTGCCTTTTCTTATTTACTAATGATTATTATTGATTAATATATAATAATTTGGGCCTGAAATAGACATTTCCCTTTTTAATATAATTATATATATGTGCATATCATATCATTAATATCCTCTGACTTTATTAGTGTCTGTTAACCACGTCGGAAAAAGTAAAGGTGTTTATAATGCATGCACAGAAAAATGATACGTTTGTGTTCGCTGTTTTTAGGACCAAGAAAAAATTATTGGTTGCTGTTTTCTCAGTTTTGGTGCCTTTAAAAATAAATTTTACTGTGCATATTTGAGTTTTACAACATCAACATCATGTTATGAGATACATATAGATAGTAACATGATTACTATATTCTCAGTTTCGTTTTAAAGGAATACTTGTTTATATATCCTTTTGATGTGGTAAGAGACCTTAGGAGAATATCTAAATGGATAGTTAGAAATATGTGTCAATATAAGCAAAATCAAATTTTCAAGATTGTAAGTATCAGCCAATGAAAATGCCAGTTAAAATTACTTTTAAATAGCATTTAAAATTAAAATTATGTATGATGCAGATATAAAAGATACAAATTTTTTATATAAATTACAAAATTGTTTTCTTCATGAAAGGAAAAAACTAATTCCTAGAGTTGATTTTATGAAAACTGAACGCATCATAAAACAAAAATAACTTAATTGAAAGATAGTTTGCTTTGTGTCACAGGTCATCTGTTTAGAAGAGCAATACTAAAGTAACTAAATGCCTTTTTGGGCTTCCTTCAATGATCCTGAAGTTTCAGTCTATTTCCTTTGCTTTCTTCTAGGAAACATTTATTATGGCTTAAATATGCATTAATGTTTCAAGTTACAATCATCTTGCCAGATATATTTATGGCATAAAGACAGGAGGAAACTAATACTCATGAAGTGTCTATTGTATATCTTCGGTAAGGTGTTAAAAGCAATGCCTTGTTGAGAAGAGAAATATTCCCATTTCAGAAGAGAGAAAACTAGGCTTAGAAAGTTGAAATGACAGGCTGGGCGCGGTGGCTCAAGCCTGTAATCCCAGCACTTTGGGAGGCCGAGTCGGGCGGATCACGAGGTCAGGAGATCGAGACCATCCTGGCCAACCCGGTGAAACCCCGTCTCTACTAAAAAATACAAAAAACTAGCCGGGCGAGGTGGCAGGCACCTGTAGTCCCAGCTACACGGGAGGCTGAGGCAGGAGAATGGCGTAAACCCGAGAGGCGGAGCTTGCAGTGAGCTGAGATCCGGCCACTGCACTCCAGCCTGGGCGACAGAGCGAGACTCCGTCTCAAAAAAAAAAAAAAAAAAAAAAAGAAAGTTGAAATGCCAGAGTTTTTTACTCCAAAATCATGTTCTTTGGCATGAGCCAAAACCTGAGAAAACTGTCCATGGAACAGTGTAGTAAACTGGTGTGAACTCCCCTTGCAAGTTCAATAATTGCAGTATAGTAAAATCAAGTTTTATTTAGAGATAAACAAATGACTGTATGCATATGTTTTGCAACAGACAAATCACAATAGTCCAAAGTCCTACAGTGGATGTTCCCCAATGCCACAGAAGAGGCCCCGAGGAACAGTTCAAATGTGCACCTACCCGCTAAATGCTCCCCAGGCATGGGCGGTCCTTCCTGGCTGGAATTTCTCTTGTGGTTATTCCTGCAGTGTCTGCAGCACTGACCTTATTCCTGTCCTCAAAATCCACTTCCTCTTCTAGTGAATCTTGTTTTTCTCATGCTTCCAGACCCACTTTCCTAGTCTAGTGACACCTCTAGACATTTTTCTGTGACATTTCTTGATTTGTAAGAATGCTTCCAAACTCCTACACCAAAATACTTTTCCCTTATCTTGTCAATGACAAACATTTAGCAAGTATTTGTTGCCTTCACTGTCTACTTCTAATCCGTGCATCCTGTCCTTCAAGAGTTTATAATCAACCTAAGGAGAAAAGCTATTCCCATAAAAATAATGAGAGCTAAAGATAAGAATAAGTTGTGTTACAAAACTTCATAGGAGGGGCCAGGTGCGATGGCTCATGTCTGTAATCCCAGCACTTTGGGAGGCAGAGGCAGGTGGATAACCTGAGGTCAGAGCAGCCTGGCCAACATAGTGAAACCCCGTCTTTACTAAAAACACAAAAATTAGCCAGTCATGGTAGCAGGTGCCGGTAATCCTAGCTACTCGGAAGGCTGAGACGGGAGAATCGCTTGAACCTGGGAGGTGGAGGTTGCAATGAGTCAAGATCGTGCCACTACACTCTAGCCTGGGCAACAAAGTGAGACTCTGTCTCAAAAAGAGACTTCATAGGAGGGAAGGATGAACATGTACTGAGAAAACTAAAAGTAGATGGAGCCTTGAAAGCATATGTTGACCACAGCACCCTCCCTACCACCCTGTCCCCATAATCTAACATCTTGCACTGGTCAGCATTGAAGGACACATCAAAGATGTCAGGAACACAGAAACACAATGAGGCCATAATTCTGGAGGAACAAAGGTATCAACACACTCTTTCTCTTGTGTTGAGTCATCTTCCCTCTCATAAAGTTCCCTGCAGAGCTTTAAGAGGGTTTGTTTTCTCTTTGGACTGTGACTTTACTCTCTAAGCCCTGAGCTTATGAGAAAAGATGCCCTGATTTTGCTGTGAGCCTAAAGGGAAGACATACTTGTGGTTTCTATCTTGTCTAGCCCAGTTCACAGAGTAGATGAATATCTGGCAGAAACTTTGGTCCTAGGAATAATACATGTGCATTTCTCTGGAAAGGGCTCTGCGTCATATCTCTTTAGAGACTTTTATGCTATGCCAAGACAGTATAGCAATGGTAAATGACTAAGGGCTTGGGGTTTGAAGTCAACAGACCTGTTACATGTCTCCGAGATGGTTGCAGTCAGTATAGCCGTGAGAGCTGAGAAAGCCCCAGAGGCCTTCAACAGAGCTAACAGCAGAATTTGGAAAAATACCAGATTATTGTTCTACTGCCCTAGAATAAGTTAGCAGACCTTGGTGCTCAGGATACCTGGGGTCTGAGACTTTCTGTGTTGCTATGTGGTTCACACATGTTCATGTGAACAATCACTTGGTGAGGTAGTAGCTTTATTTTTACAAACTAGATGAGTTAATTTGCCCACATTTATGAAACTATGACAGACTGATTGATTAAATACTTTTGGGGATGTGAATGTAAGTTCATGGTTGCACTAGTTTTTATTTAATGCAATTAAAGAATTAACAACTTGAAAGTCAAATGAATAGTTCATTTTCTCCACTGTTCTAATTTACTAATCCAAGTAAACTTTAAAGTGTATGGAGATGTTGCTGAATAAATGCGTTGCCCCTCCCAAGTCATATATTTGCATTTATAACTGGCACTACAATGTGTCTTAATCCAGTTATTACTTTTTAAAAGAAAATCAGTATAAACTTGCTGCAGTGAAATCTTACTCCAAAGTCCCTTAAATATAACTTCATGGTGGCTCTAACTCAAATGTGGTGGTGGTGGTGGTGGGGTATTATTTGGGAGAGGGTGATCTTATGAGGTCTTTTTTCCCTCCGTATCTGTGGGGTTTTTTCCCCTGAGTTAGCCCCTGGGTGACCCTACCCTGTGCCCTAAATTATACAATTATACACATGATGACCAACTACTGACTTAATCCCAGGGGCGTGAGAACTTTGATCTGGCAGGTGTACAGAGGCCTTAAAGTACTCATGGATGGATATTGGGCCCTTTCATGGCAGGTAAACCTTGCCTGTAGTTCAACAGTCTCTTCTATTTTGAGGAAATCAGTCTAATAAAGATAGTAGCAACTTTTCTCCAGTTTATAATACCATTAAGTAATTTTAATTACAAAAATTAGAAATAATCTAGAACTGTCTCCAAAATATACGTCGTAAATTCAGGAGGAAATTCAGGAGTTGTAAATTCAGGAGTGGGGCAGGGAGTGGTAGAGCTTGGAAAATCCCCATATTTGGTTCCAAGAGATGCACATATTTATTTACTTCATCTACCCCACCCCAGTGTGAAAAACATTGTGTAATTGTAAGGCCAAGCGCGGTGGCTCACACCTGTAATCCCAGCACTTTGGGAGGCCGAGGTGGGTGGATCACCTGAGATCAGGATATCAAGACCAACCTGGCCAACATGGTGAAACCCCATCTCTACTAAAAATACAAATATTAGCTGGGCATGGTGGTGCACACTTGTAATCCCAGCTACTCGGGAGGCTGAGGCAGGAGAATCACTTGAACCCTGGTGGCAGAGGTTGCAGTGAGCCAAGATCGTGCCATTGCACTCCAGCCTGGGCAACAGAGTCAAACTCTGTCTCAAAAAAAACAAAACAAACAAACAAAAAGAAAAACATTATGTAATTGTTATGCTGTGATATTTCAACTTAGTAGTGAAGAATGTTTTTACCTTCTTTAGGAAAAGAAAACTGAAAAGATATTATGTATCCACATTACAATTTCATTGATATTCTCTTGAAATTATATACAATCAGCCTTCTGTACTCGTGAGTTCTGCACCCGTGGATTCAATCAACTGCAGATAAAAATACTTTTAAAATTACGTCTGTACTGAACATGTAACAGACTTTTTTCCTTGTTATTCCCTAAACAGTTCAGTATAACGACTATTTACATAGAATTTCCATTATATTAGGTATTATAAGTAATTGTATTATAAGATGATTTAAAGTACACTGGGAGGATGTATGTAGGTTATATGCAAATAATACTATGTCATTTTATATCAGGGTCTTGAGCATCCCTGAATTTAGATATCAGTGGGGTGTCCTAGGACAAATCTTCCACAGGTACTGAAGGATGACTGTATTCATTCTACATGTCAATAAAAAATTTCAAAACTGTTAGCTTTGTTTTTTCATTAGAGTTGATTCTGGTAATAAGCACAGGAAAGAAAAATTCACATTGCACACCATATAAATCAAGTTTCTCAGGCATTCCTAGTGCAATCTGATGAAAACATCTTTCCTTAAGGTGCTTTATAGTCTCTGGAAAAATAAATTGCTACTTTTTTTAGTGACAAGTCATTGCCTTGTCACCCAAGCTGGGAGTGCAGTGGTGCAATCATAGCTCACTGCAGCCTTGACTTCCTGGGCTCAAGTGATCCCACTGCCTTAGCCTCCTGAGTAGCTAGACTCATGCCACCACACTGACTAATTTTTTTTTTTTTAGAGACAAGTTGCCATTTTGTTGCCCAAGCTTAATCTCCTGTCTTCAAGGGATCCTCCAACCTCAGCCTTCCAAAGTGCTGGGATTTACAG